TTACTTTCAGCAGGATCATACAAAGTGATAGGATTTACATGGGGAACACTTAGGCATCCCTCGGGTTTGATCTCTTCCCCAAAGACTGAGGAGGAGAAATAGGATGTTCTAGCTCCAAGAAGAAGGGTTGGTTCTGGCCACTGCACTTTCTTCCAAGCAGTTTATCTCCACTGCTCAGTTGTAGATGTTTTTCCTCATGCATCTCACACATTCAGCATCATCTCAGTGATATTTTTAAAGCCTGTCCTGTGCCCTCATTTGTATTCAATAGCCCTTCGAGGTAAAATGTTAGGCATTTCATGCTATTCAAACAAAGCCAAAACAAAGCCTCCAAATAAGCACTTCTGAAATGTACCTAGTCATCTGAGTAATTAGACATTTTCCTAGCTCCAAATGTACTGAAAATCTATTGTCAGTTCCCAATGAATGTGCCAGCAGTTATCCTAACCAGAAAGAGTTCTCTCCTAAATGCTAGCATACCGACAGAATAGAAGGTTTAAGATACAGTTACATTAATGTCTCTCCCTACCTGAATTAATAAGTGTTTTTAATTGCATAGCATCACCTGATCATAATTATTACTCTAGCAAGTTGTTCACCTTTCTCTGATGATATGATGCACAGCTGGCATTGCTCAAGCCAGGTCAGAACATGCTCTCACTGGCCAGGAGAAGTTCCCATTCCCAGTGCAGACATGCATCCTTCACACCGAAGGGCAAAGTGTTCCACTTCTGAGTGAATTTGTGGCAAATCCTCATAGGGAGAGTCAGCTGTGGACTTCACACAGGTCACAAGCCTCTCAACACTCTGCTAGCAGAGGGAATTACCAAGTATGGGTGCAAACCTGCAGATTGCTGGAGTGGCTCCATGCTCCAGCAGTCCTCACTGCGTCCCTCCTGTCACACATCTGCAGCGCTGTCACCTTTCCACGCTCACAGAGCCCTCTGCAACTCATTAGCAACTCACAGGAGGCCAGTGGAAGAAGATGGGAGCTGGCAGAGAGAGGAGCTCACAGCCTGGGGCACGAGCACACCGTCAGGATCCACTCAGCAGCCTGAATCCGAAATCTCGCCCCATCGCTTTCCATTGCCCCGGGGATGTCCGTAGCCGCTGTGAATGTCCGAGGGCTACACGGCCATGGCACAGCACTGAGCAGTCACATCCCTACACACCCAGCCTCCTGTGGGCCCAGGGGATGTGTGTGGAACCCCTCTGCATTTCCTCACCCAGCAGGCAAGCTACAGAGGTGAGCCAGCGCAGAAATGCTCAGGCAGCGCCCCGTCAGCAAAGCAGCCCTCCAGCAGCGCCTTGGCACTGGTCTGTCCCACAGACTTCTTCCTTCTATCCCCTGGGACTCACACCTGCTCCACATCCAGCTTGCTCTCAATCCACTTTACAGTTCAAAGCTTAGCAGCAACTTTTACAAGTTTGTGACAGCTAAGGCAGTAGCTTGAAACAAAACCCACTCCAAATGGGAATGTTGCTGCCTTGCCTTGCTTCAGCAAACCCTTCCAACAGACCTTTCCCCCAAAGACCTCTCTACCTCTGGACAACCTCCACATAGTGCCATCTCCTCATGAGACTACTTCAACATGGGACAGTACTGCATCCTGCCATTCACACCCACATATTCATCAAAAGATTGGAAGGTAAAGAAACCAACACCAAAACCCACAGGACAATTCCTACTTCCACTCTCTCAGTGTGAGGAAAAAGTGTTGATTATCTTGCTGCCATACAGCAAGAAGATCACTCTCAATGTTTACAGGTGGTAGGGAGAACTTTATATAATGCAGCCTTCCTCAAAGGAAAGTCTTTCAGTGCACAGAAGAAAGAAACAGCAGGAGAAGGTGGCATCTCTCCCTTCTGGTATGCAGTGGATACGCCCAGATAGTGAGACATTTTGAGTCACATTTCTGGGATGACTAAAAGAAAGTAGCTGCATTTCAGAAATGCTATGGTCAAACCTCCCAGGAGCTACGTGTGCTGAAGAATAAGTCATAAAATCACTTCTGCAGATGGCAGAGGAGTAAGAAAAACCAGAACAAATGCAAAACACCACCTCACCTCATGTTTCACACTAAGCACACAGCTGCAGAACACCACCACGAGTCTTCCCCACTATTCTTCCTTAAGTTTAGGCACAGCCCTCTCACACAAGGAAACTCCATGGATGCACCAAGGCAGCCTTCCAGATTTTGCTGACACCGCACCCAAGCTGAGTGGACTTTCAGTAAATCACCCACCAGAGCGTGTTGAAGCACACACACACCCACACAACCTAGAGCAGTGCAGGCACAGACCACTCCAGGCACTGCTTCCACCCAGCCCCTCCTGCTCCAGGCCACAGTAGGAGAAACACTTTAGAAACGGGCTAAGATTTATTGAACCAAAAGGAAAAGGGAAGGAAGCAACGTTCCCTCCCCAAGCATGCGCTCGCTTCGTGAATCTTCTGACTTTGTGCCAAGTTCAAATCTCTTCTCCACTTGGAAAGCCTGTCCTGCCAACAGAGACCCAGAAGGGAACTGGTGAATATCTCAGAAGAGGCCAAGGCAGTTCCACAGTGTCTGACCACACAGCAAGGCCCACTCTCCTCCACATCCGCCTCTCATGTCCCAACAGACATTTGCTGGGACAACAAGCTCTCTCGGGATATGGTTTCCCACACAGAAGACTACATTCTAATACCTCTTGCTTTAAGATTAAAGAATCTTAAATGTCATTGTGCCATAATAAAATTCAACATATAAATTTAAAAGGCAGAGACAGTGGCATAACTCAAAGGTTTTCAAACTCCTTTCAAACAGAAAGGTCTGTTGCAAAGCCCGTAATGAAATGCAAAGCATGATGATCAGGGATATGAAACAGCAGCACTGACTGCTGCAGAACTTGGTGTTTGCCCAGCACACACCTCACCATGCCACAGGGCCAAGATCCCCGCAGAACCTGCAACCTCAGCTGCTCCTGACCTCACTTTGGATTAACAAACCCACCCAGCACCCACAGCTGCAGCCTGAGCCCAGCCCGTGGGTGCACTCTGTGTCCAGCAGAAAACTCCCCATCTGTGGAAAGACTGGTTCATAGGGTTGGCAGCAGCAGATGCAGAAGCTGGATGGAGCTCATCCCCCTGGCTCGAGGGAAAAAGGGCACCCAGGAAGAGCAAGCAAAGGTAAGGGCAACAGCAGGGCCAGAGCAAAGGGACCAACCACCACACCTAAGTCCCTCAAACAAAACCTTTGTTCCTACAAGGTCCCAATGCCCCAGTTCTTCCATCACTGCCTCAGGGCAGGCAATCTGAGCACTTTCATCATCCCCTGCTTCACAGCTTGCTTCAGCAATTCCAGACTTTCTCCCTCAAACCCCAGTTCTGCCCCACCTGCCCAGATATCCACATGTGCTTTGCATTCCCCACATTCCTCCAGGCACCTCAGCCAGATGCCTCCAATCTGCTGTCCTCCACAATTCCAGCACCCAGCACCCACCCTTGTGCTCCCCACCCCCTGCCACACCAAGGCAGGGTCAGTGTCCTTACAGTGCATTTTCTGGTCATCTACAGATTTGCAAACAAGCAGGCTATGTTGTGAGCTCGTTTGCAGATCTGCAAGTATCAGCATAAATGATAATGCAGAATGAAAAGTCCTTGACAGTCGGACATTTGGGCTTTTATTTGTTTAACAGCCACTGTTACAAGGTTGGATGGGATGGAAACCCAACTGCCTTCCTGTAGCAAAGGGTGCAGTGAAGAGAATTGTCGACAGAGCCCCCATGTCCTCCGCACAGCAGGGACAGTGCCAATCTCACTGGAACCACAGAATGCTTTGGGTGGGAAGGGAACTTTTAAAGATCATTTAAGTCCAACCCGCTGCCAGGAGCAGGGACACTTTCTTGTCTAGTGCAAAAATGACAAAGCACCAACTGCTCCTCCAGCTATTCCCATCCAGGCGACAACTTCCACAGCAAAGGGACTCCTTGAAGAGGGCACATTTCCGCGGGTGCCAGAGCCTTTCCAAGACCTCCCGTTGCAGAAAAGAAAGGCTGAACGAGACACAAGCTGAAAAAGTTGCTTCCCGAGGCGCTGCTAGCACAGATAAACTGCTATAAACCCAGATTACCTGGAATAGCACGCCTCAGGTTTGCTTTTACCCCTCTATCTTCCTGCCCACGATGTCAGATCACTACAGTGTTTATGATAGTTACTCGTCCCTGCAATACAGGGGCATGGCCACCAAGTCCAACCTGCTATATGGATGGCGCAGAAGACAGAGGGATTTGGGGGGGTTTGTAAAGCTTGCAGAGCTTTACGTTCCTGCCAGGTCAGCCTGATGACTCTGTTTCCTTTCTGCTCGCTCGCTATGCCCTTGTTTAAAACAAAACAAACAAACAAAGATAAAGAGAAGCGCTTCAAAGATTTGTCTCCGGCACGTTTAAATCCTCAGAGGCATTCTGTTCTGAGCTAGGCTTGAAGAGCGCAACATTTATAAAAGCTAAGAGGAATGCCTGGATGCGGGCTAAAACCAGCGGCGGCAGGGAGCACGGCCGCGTGTTTACACACAGCAGAGGCCGGGAAACAGAGGGAGACGGGCAGAGGGCGAAGAACCGTCACTGGAGAAGGGATGCGCACCCCGAGCCCATCCCTGCGGGGCACTGCCCGGGCAAAGCGCCGTTAACGCGGGGATGGCGGGGCCGGGCGAGCGGCACAGCGTGCCGGAGCAGCCAGCCCGCCGGGGCTGCGGGGCACCCGCACCGCGAAGGTGACCCCGCACACACCTGACACACGGCAGCAGCCCCCCGCCCTCCGCAGGGCCGGGGGTCCCGCACCGCCACCATCCCAAAAGCCGCGGAAGGGACGGGAGGAGCCGTGCCCGTCACTGCGGCAGCGGTGGGAAGGGGCCGTGCGACTGCGGGGAGGATCGCACAGGTGATGGGAACGGGGCTCGAGGAAGCAGCCGCGAAGCTGGGGAGGAAAGGGGGTGCGGTCCGCGCCCTCGCCCGCCCGTTACCTGGGCACGCAGCTGGGGCTGGAGCCGTCGATCTCCCAGGTGGCGAAGAGGTTCATAGGCACGGGCCGCCCCAGGGCCCCGGTGCCGCCGGGGAAGCTGAGGCGGCTCCGCTCGGCCGCCGCCGCCATGGCTGTGCCCGCCGCCCTGGCGCGCGCCCACCGCGCCGGGCCGCCACCGCCCCGCCCCGCCCGCGGGGGGCGCGTCACGGGGCGGGGCCGCGCGGGGGGAGGAGCGATGGGCGGGGCTTATTTGGCGCGACTTGAACGGGGCGGTGCTGCTGAGGGGGCGTGGTCACACGAAGCCTGGTGGGCGTGGCCGTGCGAGACGCCGCGTCTGCTCCAAGGGGGGCGCCCGAAGAGGGCGTGGCTGCGTCGGGGGCGTGGCCTCGCATTGGCGCAGGCGCACGGGGCGGCAGCGCTGCCCACGGGCGGGCGGAAGTGCTGGCGGCGCGGCGGCCGCGCACCGGAAGCGGCGGTGGCAGTTTCCGGGCGGCTCCGTGGCAGGGCGGGCGGCGGGCGCGACCATGGTGCTGCTGACGATGATCGCCCGCGTGGCGGACGGGCTCCCCCTCGCCGCCTCCATGCAAGAAGACGAGCAGGTGGGGCCGGCGGGGCGCGGGCGGGGAGGGGCCGGGCCGGTGCGTCCGTGAGGAGCGGGCGGGGGGCGACCTACCGGGAGCCGCGCAGTCCCTTCTCACAGCAAGGCGGCTCTGGCACCGGCGCTTGCCTCCCGGTGGTGGCGGGTGGGACGGACAGAGCCCGCCGGTGCTGTCGGGCCGGTCCCGGCAGCCCCGGAGCCCCGCCGGTGTGTCTCCGGTACCGGCCCAGCAGCCCGCTCTCCTCCCTCCCTGCCTCCTCAGTCAGGCCGCGACCTGCAGCAGTACCAGAGCCAGGCGAAGCAGCTCTTCCGCAAGCTGAACGAGCAGTCCCCGACGAGATGCACGCTGGAGGCGGGAGCCATGGCTTTCCAGTGAGTACCGGCAGCGCCGCGGGGATCGCGGCTCCGCTGCCCCGGGAACCGCCCGGGGCTCTTTGAGTCGGGCTGAGGGTTTGTTAGAAACGGGGCTGCCTGTCAGCCCTGCTGCAGAGGGACAGTGTGTGAGCTGTCGGTGCTTGGCACGGGTGTCTGGCCCTTGGTTTTCGTCCAGGTTCGCGGCTGTGCCTTTGCTGCAGACAGTGCAGGTGCTGTTCTCTCCCTGCCTTTTTGTGTGTTTGCACTCTGATATGCCTTCACTGCATCTTCTGGGCAGCCTGTGCCTTGTGTTTAAAGAGGTCTGTCTTTGTACAGCCAGTGTGGCAGTGCCACTGTGAGCTCCTGCTGCCCAGGACTGTCCTCTCTGTGCCCTGTGAGAGCTCAGCTTTCATGCTTCACAAGCACATTGAGCATCTCTGAATATTTCTATTATTGTTGTTCTAATACCCGACAGATTTCTTTTTCTTATCCAGTAAATTCAGCCTTATTGTTGCTGGATTTGTTGGGTGTGTTTAATTAATTTCCTTAACTCTTTGGGAGCTCTCAACTTAAAAGCACTTTTGGCATTCTCCAGTAGTACTCCTGCAAGGCAGCATGGCTGTGAAATAAGGAAATCTTACACAGGTCAGACGTCCTTACTCCTTAGAGGCAGGGCAGGTGGAGAGGTGGGTGAACAGAGGGGGAGTTGGCAGTCCCTGGAGGGCAGGAAATCTTGTGTGTGAGGAGGGAAATGCCTCTTTCTGTGCCATGCCATTACCTGGCAGAATAATGCTTGAGCACTTAGTCAGGATCCTGCCAGGAATCAGAACTGTGCCATGACAGGAATGCCTGCTGGAAGTCTCAGAGCTCAGGTGCCAGGTGAGCTCTCCAGGCAGAGCTGTGCACTGTGGCAGGAGTGTGCCAGGATCCCCACGGTGCCACCTCAGCAGGATCCCTCAGTGCCAGGTGACTCCCTGTGCCTGGGTGTGTGTTTATGGCTGCAGAGGGCAGGTGGCCTTTGCATGCAGGGCAGGGTTGGCTTTGGGCCTCTGCTCTAGCACAGGAGCAAAATCTCCCACCCCAACCCTTTCTTCAGAGATTCAGAGGCACAAAGAGGTGGCAACAGGAGTTTTTTGGATGGGCAATCTCTGGCAAAAGCCGTGAGGTTTTTTGGGGATGCTTTTCTTGTTGTCTTATGTCTGCTAACTGCGACGAGATTTATTAAAAAATCTTTTCTCTGGGCTTCTGGTTGCCTTTGATAGGGAGTTACAGTGTCAGAGGATGGCCCTGATTGGCCTGGCCATCCTTATCTCCTCTTGGATTTTGGGTGTTGTTGCTGGAGTTAAGTGCTGCCCTTCCTCTTGCTTTTTCTACAAGTTAAATCTTCACAGACTTTAAAAACTGCCTCATTTCTGAGTGTCTCCTTGGCACAGCATGGGTGTAGCTCTGCCTGGCTATGAAGCTTGGGAAAGAGCCTGTGAAGAACCCAGTAAATCCCTTCTTGAGTTACCTCCATGATGCAAGCAGAGAGATGTCTGGGAAGGTGGCAACACTTGCCCAGGAAATCAAAGCCTCTTAGTGGTGGCTGTAATGACAGCAGTTGTGACGAGGAGGGAGAGCTTGGGCAGGCCTGTTTTGCCAGCTGTCTCAAAGGAGCAGCCGGGTTACCTGGCTGGGACAGGAGTATTCCTCCTCCTGGGTTGAGTTAGTCCCTGGATAGGTTTTGCTGGCCGCTGACAGCTGCTGCTGCAGAGCACTTGCTTCTGCCTCGTTTGAGGTGGGGCATTACAGCAGGACCTGTGTGAAAAGAGCAATTTCAGATCAGAAACTTTCCTCTGCAGGAAAGGGAGGTGACAGGGGAATTTGAGATTTAGTCTAAAATAACGCTGACCTATGGCCATGCTGCTCACCAATCTTTTGTGCCAGATCAGAGCTCTGGCTGCTGAGGGCAGCACAAAGCAGGACAGAGCATTCTGTGGGGGAAGCAGCACGGCCAAGGGTGTTGCTGGACTTGCTGAGGTGCTGTTGAACATCTTCAGCTTCATCAGTTCAAAGCAGAGCCAAGCCTTCCTGAAACGTGAAGTTTAAATTGTGAGCCCTTGGGTGATTTCTGTCAAATGCTGTGCCAAGGTTGCAGCTGCAGAAGCTGTGTCACCCTTGCAGCAGCAGCACTGGGCTGTGCAGGTACAGGAACACCGACGGCTCTGCTGTGCTGTCAGTGAGCAGGTGACCTTTGGCTGATGAATGGCTGAAGTGACTCCTACCTGTCATTTAAAAGCAACCCTTGGCCTTTGCCACTGTTAGCAGGATAAAGCTTTTCTCTCTCAAAATGTCCAGCATGATTACAGGAGACCTGCTGGCTGCACTCTGTGCAGAGTTAACCGTGGCAAGTGGCCACATCTGCCCCGTGTGTGAGGACACGCAGGCAGGTGCTGTGCTGAAGCCTGGGGGCGCACACAATGTATGAAACTGAGAGGCCCAGCTGTGCAGGAACTCTGGTCTGAAGTTGACTAAATTGTCTGAATCTGGGGCAGAGTGAGGTGAGCTTGCTCCCTGTGGTGCTGCCAGACCAACTTTAAATCCAACACACTGAATATCACACCAGGAAGAAGCAAGTGGGAAATGCAGCTGAAGAGCTCCAGGCAGGACCAGCTGGCCCAGGCAGAGATAAACAGAGCTGTGCTGATGGGACATGTTCCTCAGAGTGCTCTCACCTGGAGAGTGCTGCTCCAGCAGTGCTGTCAGAATTCCCTTCTGACACTGGTTCTCCTCATTTCAATAGATTTGCTCAAGTCTTGCTCGTCATGGCAGTGGCTAAATCAAGCTCTGGGCGATGATCTTTAGCAACCCCTATGTGGCAAGCAGGTCTCCAGGGGTAAGGGAAGTGATGCAGTCCAAGCTGAGGAACGTAAAAAGGACCAAAGGCCACAGGCACGTGGGCCATGCTGTGGAATGGATGATGGCAGCTGGAGTTTCTTGTTCTGGTTGGGGTAAATCTGTTGTTGTTTGAAGGCTGCCAGGGTTCACACACGGGCCATATAGAAGCAAGAAAAATGGATACTCCTGAGCCCAGGAACAAGGTGAGGATGGCTAGTTTAAAGGACATGGCCCTGCTGGGGTATCTGGAAAAACAGTGCAGAGTGAAGTTGTTCTGTAAGCCTGATGTGTCTATTAACAAAATTTAAGCTGCTTATTTTACTACAGTGCCCTCAGGACTGGATCGTTTCTTTAATACACTGCTAATCTTTATGCTAACCAGACTAATGCTTAATGGCATTATGCAGAAAGTCAGAGGAAGGTAACCTAAAAGTAGCATTCACACTCCATCCTGAAGAGTATAGATAAGCATTCAAAAGTGTTTACAGGGCTGTTTATTGTCTCCACCCCCTTGGTTTTGGTGGGAGTATTGTAGCCTTTATTTTTATACTGTCTAAGAGAGGAGGAAAATTCAGTTGGGAATGTTTAACAGCAGAGTGACATAGTGAAGCCTAAATAGTGTCAAGGTTGGTGGTGGGTGAGAAGGGGGCCCGTATGCCCTCAGCTGAGGGGCAAACCAAGCAGCTTTACACAGCAGCAGGTGTGTCACTGTGTGCTTTGGAGCTCCCCACCTTGCAGCCAGAGAACTGGTGGCACGGTCACACCCACCCATGGCGAGCCCATGAGGTCACCAGAGCCCACCTAGCAGCAGTACCCCTCCCCAGCTGGCCCTGTAGTGATGCATGTGCATAGCAGCACCCCTCCAAAAGGCTGGTGGTGGTGAGGAAGGGGATGTCCAGCCCTCTGAAATGGAGAGGGGCAGCTGGCAGGGACTGGGTGCCTTCTCAGCACACTGAGACCAAACTCCTGTGTGTGCCTGCTCATTTCAGTGCCTCAGCTTCCCATTCGTGGGCCTCAGGTACTTGGCTGTGCTGCTAGTTAGAGACATGTTGGCCACCTTCCCCTCTACTCTGCTGGCAGACTTTCTTGTGCTCCCCTCCTCCTGACTGCAGGGTGTTCTCTTTTTTATACTCCAAATTTACAACTCTTTTGTTGCTGGTATTTTGTTCAGCTAATGGTATTCACAGGCCACCTTTTGTTCAGCTGAAGTCAAAGCCCAAGGCTGTTGGCATGGGTGTAGGGTCTGAGGCTACAAGAAAATTTATTTTGGCTAAACAAAAGATAAGCCATTGCTTTGCAGAAAGGTTTACACTTGATCCAGACGCAGAAAACCAGAAGTTCTTTTACCCAGTTCTC